TTATGATAAATAATGATAATAATATTTATGATAAAAGATACTAATTTGCTAGTTTTGTAATATTCCATATTTCAATTTGATCTTCAGGGACTCTGTGCTGTGGCCAATTTGTGTGCTGGTTGTGGATGTAGGCCGTGAATTAACCCAGCTCATGTATCGTGTTATGCTCAAGGTAGTTTTATTAATTTTTTAATTTTTTTTATTGGTTTTATTTATTTTTTGACGGTTTTGTCACGTGATATGATGAAAACAAGAAATCGCGTCAAAAAGAGCATTGCCAAAATGCACGACGCATCCATAAACCTCTTTATGCATTCCTATTGCATCTTAAGTCGTTTTCTTCAACATGAACAATTTTCTGATGGTTCGTTGTTCATTGATTAGATCGATTCTCGTTTTAATCTTCCAGTATTTATTTAGTTTTTTTTTCTCGTTTTTTTTTGAACACATCCTAGACTAATGAACATTTTAGCCGATACTGGACTATGTCTACCAGCGATACAAAATCATCGAAACGGCGATTCTCATCTATTTTCTTGGTCCTGTATGCGATACGATTGTGAAAAACATACCGGAGAAGAGTCCATTCTGCGGTGAGTTGCGCTGTTTTTTTTATCATGTCCTTCGATGTTTTGTTCCCTGACCGAAAATTCTGTTTTCTCATTGGTATTCGATTTGCCACCCCACAGATCCAAACCTCTCGGAACATTTGTTAAAAATATTTTTTTTCTGTTGACTTGAGAAGCCTTCATGCCTTCAACTTGAAGCCCCACATGCCTTTTTCTTGACTCTCTTTACCCGAAGGTCGTGTACGCACTTGCTTCTTGACGGTTGTAAGCGTTGCATGTGATTTTTCTTGATCTACGATTTGAATTTTCTTCACAGTGCGCAGCATCCTTAGATTTTTCATCTAGTAGTACAGTCTGGCTCGATTTTATTCGCTGTGGCACAGTTGATGATGAGGATATTCTTGAAGAGAAACATTTTCAAAAAATGCGCCATTATTGGTTGTGACAATTTTTGTGACTCGTTATGGAATTGCTAGGTTAGCCAAAAAATCACGGACAAGCTTAGATGTGTACTTTTTGCTGTGTATATTTTTGCTGTTGTGTACATCCAATTTAATGCTCAATTCTAAATCCGCCACACCATTGTCAGTGGAAAATGCTCGTTGTGGTTCTTCATTAGCCTCTATTCAATTAAAAATGAGGGCAATGCGATGCGCGACACTGCAACAACTTGTTCATCGACATTGACAGTAAAAATAATTTTTGTTCGGAGGCGTTTTTATTGAACTTTTACTTCCAATTTCGAATGATAATTTTGGATGAATTTTGCAGTTGTCCGAAATCTTCTGGCCAGTGTACATAGTAATCTGACAGCATGGATCAGTGTTTTTAATTTTTTTTTCGCAAAAATATGGCTGTGCTTTCGGTCATACAAAAGTCAAGAGTGGACGAGAGAAAAGTCAGGAGTCTGAAGGTTCAAAGTTTGAGTGATATCTACTTTTCTGAAAATATCAGTTCGTAGCAAGACTACTTTTGGAGAATTGCGCAAAATCTTCTTGAATGAATCTGTTTGAGATGACAGCGACGTGGAATTGGAGGGAATGCTACCGGACGAGATCACCGACGAGATCGAGGAGATGGCTGTGGCAGGCGAAACGGAAGGAGAGGATTCGCTGGGCGAAATTGAACCACCATCTCCTATCACTCCTCTCGATGGTCAATAGTTTTTCTGTCTCATTAGTATTTGAATTCACCAAGCTGATTGTTTTCAGAAGAAGAACGCGATTTCACCACCGGTCTCGCTTTCCCAACCATTCACGCTTCCGAGTCCAGTGATGACGAATTTGATTTGAAATTGAAGAAAAAGCCTGCGGCTACAAAAAGGAAGCGTCAAAAAGGAGAACGAGGAGCAGATGTCGGCGCGGCGCCCGAAGTGCCCATCACTGAAGCAGATCTGGCGCCGGTACCACACAGACGTCGTCGCAGTGGTCGTGATTCGTTCGATGATGAGTTCGAGTTATTACAGTGATCAGCTAATTGTAAATGCTGTCGTGTGCTTTCTCTGAAAAGCGTCGACTTCTTTTAGCAGTGCCCTTGGGACTTCACTGAAGCAAAGGGTACTTCGAAAGGGTCAACGCAAAGGGTAACGATTGCTCAGCACCGGATAAATGCCACAAAGGGCGTAGTAAGCTGTTTACTATAGAGGGCAGTGCTAGTGGAGTGTGACGTGTTCGGTCTGAACAAATTTGTCAAGCCATACTGTGTAATGGTGTTGTATTGATTGGATTGCAACTTGCTTCATTTTCATGATTATAAGAATTGCATTAGTGTTACTCAGTGTTTTATCAAGGGGTCATGGATTGGAAACAATGATATGGCGGCAGCATGACAATAACAACACTAATAAATGGGGATGAGCGCAGCTAATATACTGGAACAGCTATCATTTACTTTTGATGGTCCCTTTGACATGGTCAGAGAGCCTAGTGAGTTTTTCTCACTCATGATGCACGGAGTGCTTCGTAATACCCCACCCCCTTCTCTCCCTCCCAATACTGACGTAGGGGAATCTGAGGCAGCAGTTATCCAGGTTTCACGCTGAACACCCATTGATATCTGATCAAGCACCTATCAAATCACGTGTCGGAAATAGGTCCCAAGAGCCAGTCCCTACCAGAGAGAAAGAGGGATACCCAAGGGCAGGAGTCATGACACTGTCGCGACTCAAAAGTGCGAGGCAACGGAGCTAAAGCCATGCCCTGTGTGCTGTCGTACTACCATTGGTCTCGGCGCCCTCTCGCGTACGACTTATTATCTACCATTCTCCCTCTCCTCGTAGCGCTGTGTCTCTCCGTCATGCCACGAGAGGGTTTTGTAAGCGCATTGTCGGCAGACTTAAAGCCACGAGTCAGGATTAGGCTACCAGCCGAAGTTCTTCCCAGAGCGCGGTAGTGGGCTCCCAAGCACTAAGGACAC